CCAACGTCCGCGCCTCCACCTGCAACACAGCCAGCGGGCGGCGGCGGCCCTGGGGTGCAATGGTCCCCCCGCTTGGCCCAGTTTGGACCCCCGTACTGTGGTGTCCTCCATGGGCAAGGCCCCCTAACCCCATACCTTGGTGTCCTTCCATCGGTATGGTCCCCCATCCCATACCTTCGTATCCTTCCATGGGTATGGTCCCCCTAACCCCATATCTTCGTGTCCTTCCATGGGTATGGTCCCCCATCCCATACCTTGGTGTCCTTCATGGGTATGGTCCCTCACATCCCACACCTTGGTGTCCTTCCATGGGTATGGTCCCTCACATCCCACACCTTGGTGTCCTCCATGGGCAAGGTCCCCCACCCCATACACTGGTGTTCTCCATGGGCACAGCCCCCCCTGGCCCATACCTAGGTGTCCTTCCATGGGTATGGCCCCCCATATCCCATACCTTGGTGTCCTCCAGGAGCATGGTCCCCCAACCTGTACCTTGGTGTCCTCCACAGGCATGGCCGTGGTCACAGCTCCTCCTGCCTCCCGGGGCATCGATGCCCCACGGGGCAGCAGAACCCGCAGCTGCGGACACCCGTCCCCGGGGGGGAGAAGGCGTCTGGAGTGGGGGCAGCAGGAGCACGGGGGCACATAACTTGGTGTCCTCCATGGGCACAGTTCCCCACCCCATACCTCGGTGTCTTCCATGGCAAGGGCCACCCCACCCCACCCTGTACCTTGGTGTCCTCCATGGGTTCTCCTGCCCCGTACTGTGGTCTCCTCTATGGGCATGGTCCCCCCCATCCCATACCTCGGGCACAGCCCCCCAACCCCATACCTTGGTGTTTCCCCATGGTACCCCCACCCTGTACCTCACTCTCCTCCATGGGCACGGCGTCCTGCTGACTCCACTCCAGCCACATGCGGTGGAGATGCTGCCGGGTGCCGTAGAGGGGTACGTCCATGCCCTGCCGCCCCTGCTCAATCTGGGGGCGAGGGACAGCGAGGTGGGATCACACTGGGGGTGCTGTGCCAGGCCGACACGGGGCTGCCGCGGTCCCCAACGCAATCCTTACCAACTCGAAGATGCGGTGGAGCTGGGCCAGGAGCTGCTGGGCGCTGTGCCGTGCCCGCTGCAGCTCACCCAGCGAGCGCCGCAGGGCTCTGTGCCGCAGCTTGGCCGAGAGAGAGCCCACGCGGACGAAGTAGCTCTGCCACCGCCTCTGCTGCTCCGGTGAGACCACCTCGACGCCCGCCGCTGCGGGGTGAGAATCGCGTGGTTGGACCATCCCGCACTGGGTAGCGCAGCATCCCATGCTGGGGACCGCAGCATCCCACCACCGGCGCTGGGGTGAGCGCCCCGCGCTCCGCACCCCACCACGGGGACACGGGAGAGCCCACCCACGGGGGGGACCCCCCCCGCGGGATGCTCGGCCACCGGGTCATGTGGAGGTGTCACCAAAAAGCCAGGTGGCCTCTCCGGTCACCTCGACTGTGACACGGGGCCAGTTCTGCCCACCGCTACCCCGTGCTGAGCTATAAATACCCGGGGCGGGCGGCACAGGGCTATATTTGCTTTCTGGTTTCCAGGTGAGAGTTCC